TTAATTTTGGAACGATTTTCGTCCAAGTGGCCCTTTAATAGGTTTACACACAAGGCTAAAGCAAGTGACAAGTGGTGCTTGAGTGGATTTAAGTGGTCCGCTAGAAGCTTGGCACTTGTATATAGGTACTGGCTGCAACTGCCCTTTTTTCGTGTACAGCAGCTTTCTGCATTCTGATTGGCTGTATTTCCAAGGCCAACTCTTATTATCTTTCAAGTTTTTCGGGCTTATTATATATATAAGTAGTTGCTTGGAGAAGCATAATAATAAAAAGGACAGCGATAGGAAACACATAGTTTTTACTTCACAACGTTTCGGTGTCATCATGACTCCATTATCAAGTGATAGTGAATTGCAAGTGTACAGTAGTTTAAGATCAATCGAATTAACATATAATTACTTGTGAAAAAGAAAAAGTATTGCTATGTAAATAGTTTGGCCTTGATAGAGTCACTTTGAACATTTAAAGAAGGTGTATTTTCAATGTGGCTTGTGTAATGCGAGCTATGTAAGCTACACCCTACGACACCTACACAAACGCTGTGAAGAACACAAACTTCCATCATCAAGTATATACAGACATTTCAAAAACGAACATGGTTTGTGCCAAACGATATCAATATTAACTTTAAGATCTTGAAAAAATTCTATAACAAATTCGATTGTCTAATTTTTGAAATGTTGTTTATAAGAGAAAACAAACACCTTCCCTAAATGTTTAAAGTGACTCTATCAAGGCCAAACTAGTGCATAACAATACTTTTTGTTTTTTACAAGTATATATATCTTCTATTGTATCATAGACATTAATAATGTCTATGATACAATAGAAGATATATATACACTTGATTGCAGAAAGGCTGTAGTATACATTTATACATATATCTAATGAGATACAAGATATCAAATGAGATGCAAAACTTAAAAAGTAACTCATTTGTTCTCTTCTATTGTATCAGAGACATAAGTATTACACAAAGGCAAGTTAATATATATATATATATATTATTTGATTATAATTATAATTATATAATAAAAGATATATTACATACATATGATGCACTTACCTGATGCATACAAGCCCTTTCAATATAGTAAGTGTCATTAAAAGTTTCTGCCACAGTTTTCCCCACGACAACTACACCATGATTACACATAAACAAGACCCTTTTGTTCCCGATGTGCTTTGCGATGCGTTCTCCCTCATCTGTGTCCAAACTCAGTCCACCGTAGTCTTGGTCGTATGCAAAGTCATTATAGAAATAACAAGACGTTTGATGGTACATGTCGAAAGGCAAGTCCTTCAGTATGCCTAAATATTGAATAATGATATAGTTATAGACCTAGAGGTTATAAACTCATGCAAATCCAACACTTGAACTTGAAAGGACAAAATGACTGCAGAACAAGAGTTCTGGGACAAAAAGCAGTTGATAACTTTTGAAAATTGCGGAACAAATTGTTCAAGCACAAGGTCCATTGTAAAAATACGATGTTGCGCACAAAGATGTATGAGGGTCCTATTTAAATAAAGATAAGTTGGCACTCCCTACTGCTAAGGGGCTAGCTTGATTTTTGTTTTTTGGAGTCATAGGTTCTCAGCACAGTCATAAAAAGAGAGGCTAGAGTAGCTCAATAATATGCCATTATCACGGGAGAAAAGAAAGATTAATTTTATTACATCTAAGATCCTGCTCGTCTTCCACACTCAAAACATATAATCCACACTTACCTAGAGCAGTTGCATAAGGAGAGTGAAGATGAAAAACACAAAGAGCGTCTGGCCTCGCTTTATGAATACCCAAGTGGATCGTCCACGCTGAAGCTTCTACTTCTTCCTGTCCCTCAACGACTTCACCCTTAGAGTTCACACCAACCAATAAATCTGGTTTGGCCTGGATATCAAATCATAAAACAGTCATATATCAAGATATAACGTGCATTGATCGAGTGCAGTAGGCACAAGGTAGTCATATAACCAAAGGCAATAGACCCGTTTCGAATTGTTTCGAATTCCAAATTACCGCTGTGTTTCTTGATTACAGACTCATTTGCACAGGGTTAGCGTCGAGTTTGTGCAGAATATTCACGTGTTCCAGTCAAGGTCCGTCGAGTTTCAAAGTGTTTGTCTGTGTTGAAGTTGTGCATTCTTTACTTTACCGTTGGTATTTGTGAAAATTTAGACACTGATACGAGGCTAACCCTGGGTAAATGAATCTGTAATCAAGGAACACAGCGGTAATTTGGAATTCGAAACTGGTCTATTATCATTTCTCTTTTTCTCCCTCCTCCCCTCCCCCCTCGTCTTAGTTTTAATTTTTCGTTCTCAGGCTCCTGCCAGACTATCGTAAGATACATGAATAAAGATAAGGGATAAAAAATAATAACAAAACATAGTAAACTTGCACGTGAGGATCTAAGTGATTAACTTACAAGGGCGGATCCAGGGTTTTTTGAAGGGGGGGTCTCAGGGGTAAATTTTGTGGGCAAAGGAATCCCATTCGCATTTTTACCACAGGAAACCCATTTGACCTCAGGAATGGCAGGGGGGTCGCGACCCCCCCGACCCTCCCCCTGGATCCGCCCTTGACTTAGCACGAGCAGAATCTCATTGAATGTTTAAAAAGGTTTGATGTTCTTTGATATTAATCGGAACATTTCTAATATATAGGGGAAGCAAAACAACCTTTGCTTGCAGAGTAGGCAAGTGTTATATTTGCAAGAATATTCAGAATAGTGGTGACTGATATACAAATGATACATAGTGATTGCAAACTGAAGTCACTGGAAATATACTGGACAAAATAATGCGATTAGAGCCGGTATTTTTAAGATTTCTAGCTGTTGGGAAAGCGATCCCGTTGTGTTAAGACAATGGCACAATGGTAATATTCAGTTCGGATGGCTTTTTCCAACGATTTCTTTCAACACAAGGTAAAACACGTGCAGATGATCTACATTGTTCCATGACATTCCATGAGGGATGACGCTGGGTAACTCTAAATAGGTCAGGAAATGAACTTTGAAAGCATTTGTTTTTAGTCAAGAATATCAATATCTAAAGTGAATTTCCACTGACTCTAGCCTTAGGATAATAGCATCATGGTTTATATGTTGGCTCCTTGGCTTCGGGGACAGAACACACGAAGCTAACAAAGAATACAATAGGTTTGCGGTACAAAACCCCGATATGTTGAATAGGCAACTGCATCATCTTCCCTGCTGATCAGTTGCATGGCTTGCTGTGCACTAAACCGTATCAGCCTTGACCTGCGTAAAATTAAAACATTCTACCGCATAACATATTTAAACATGTATAAAGGCTCATAAATCCGATCAAACATGTCTGTCGAAATGTTGCACAGTATCTTTCCGGTTCCTGTCAGCATCGTACCAAGAAATATATTAGGCTCAAATTTAATTATTTTTTTTTTTAGAAAAACGCAAAAATTGCCAAATCAATGCTGACTTTTTGCAATCGGTTGTAAATGTGTGTCTACGATTCACGAAATGGATGTTCAGTGGGAGACTAGAGTTCCAAAGAAACATGAGAACGGTTCACTGATTCTAAAATACTCGATGTTAAAAAAACCGTTTCAACCCAACTGAAGCATTCCATTACACACAACTCTCCTCAACACTTCCTTTTAATGTTAAAAAAAAGATTTATTAAAGGGGAAACTTTACGTCTTACAAGAACTAACTCAGATATGTTAGAGTTAATTACCATATAGCATAGCCATATAGATTCGGCCCTCGGGTCTAAACATGACTTAATGCCTCGCTCTTCGGTAATTAACTGACTTGCTTTATTACACTTGAGAAGAATTTCATACAAAAAATATTCATTATTCCGATTATTGTTCCTTAATTCCCATGAGGGAATACTAAACAAACACTTTTGAATTCACCGAACTAGAGTTAATTCATTATTTTGTCCAGCATATTTCATCAGCTTGCTATGTAGTATACAATCTAATGTGTGGTACAGGTAAGCCAAGGTTACGGTTTCAATTTCTGCTAGTTTCTATGTTCATTTTTCAAAAGATTTTTTTTTCTTTATAAAACGTTTGTAGTAGAAAATTCTAGAAAAGTCTAACTCCCTAACCTCATTCAAGGGCTATATATCATGGTATTAATATTCAAGGGAGTACTGATCTAGATAGAGAGGTTTCCATAGAGCGAAGTCTCTAAACCTGTGAAATAGATATTAGACTTTTTGTGTCTATTATTCAATTGACTATAACACGTTGACTAAAAGTTTTTATTTCACGGGTTAAATACCTTTACTTTAAATCAATGAAACAAAGTGTACTAATTATAGTAAAATAGTCGGATAAACACGATAGAAACAAAAGAATCAGAGTTTGATAGTACTAAATGAGTTAAACAGAGCGTATTTCAAAGTTTATGAAAACCACTCCAAGGGAAAGGATATATTGATACTGATAGCCCGCAAAAGAGACCTTCTTGCCTTATTGAACTTGGCTACCTCAAAGGATTTAGTTTCGTAGGTGCTGAAGAGAGTAGATTAAGAACTTTCTCTTCAGATAGGATTTTGAAACAACCATCATTGGAAAACAAACCAAGAGTACCAAAGAGTATTTCAAAAACATGCATTTTCACAAAACACTGTCCTTTACTGTCTTCAACTTCTAATCTTGCTAGACGTCAATTGAGACGTTCTTGCTAAGATCTACTCAGATCTTCCAGCAGGGTCCTACAGGAAGGACAAATCACTCAAAGATCTCAGGCTAGTGAGAACTAAACTACCTACCACTTAAAAGAAAAAACCAGCATTTGAAAACGGTGAATGTAGACACGTATGATAGCAATACAATTATACATATATTCGATGACCGGTTTACTAGAGGATAACGTATTCCATAAAAAGAAACAACTAGCATTAGAAAACGGCAAATGTACACACGTATGATGGCAATATATTCGATGACCGGTTTACTAGAGGATAATGTATTCCATAAAAAGAAACAACTAGCATTAGAAAACGGCAAATGCATACACGTATGATGGCAATATATTCGATGACCGGTTTACTAGAGGATAATGTATTCCATAAAAAGAAACAACTAGCATTAGAAAACGGCAAATGTATACACGTATGATGGCAATATATTCGATGACCGGTTTACTAGAGGATAATGTATTCCATAGGATTATAAAAGCCGAAAAATATAATCAGGAAAATCAACAGAGCGTACTGGTGTACGAATACTTGAAATATATGAATATACTGGGGTTTTTTTTACCTCTCTCCAGTGGTAGCCGTACGGTATCATTAACATTACTTTACCATCGCCATTGGAAGCCGGTACCACCAGACTGAGATGGTTACAAATACCTTCATGAAAGTTCATTGATTCAAGGCCTCTAAAAGCAGCGGCAAGATCCACACGACCTTGCCAGTTTAATCTTTTGGCTTCTTCTACTTTGAGTCCATTATCACTCGAGAAAAGGTTGACTTTGGAACATAGTGGAACACTCCATGGCGAACATAAGGAATCACAGCTTTTCTTGTAGCCCTGAATCAACTGACGACCAAGCTTGACCAAGTCCTTCGCTCTGAACATGACTCTCAAGTTCTCGGAGCAGTATTTGTTTGGGAATAGGGTAAATAGTAAAATTGGAATGTTTTCCCAAAAGTGAAGACTTAGTTCTAATAATGTCAGTAACAGAAAAGGGTCTCCAACATCACAGGTAGCCCAAGCTTGGTTTCTGTGGTGTCATGTTATAAGGGAATGTATGGGGATTCATCAAAAATTTCAATAAAATCATTGAAACGTGAAATAAAGCCTCGAAATTTTACCCGATCATTGAGAAATGGCACTTCTTTCGCTCTGTGTGGTTATTTTTTGAATTTAGCCCGTTTTAAGGATTTTTAGAAAAATCCTTAAAACCGGCTAAATTCAAAAAATTACCACACAGAGCGAAAGGAGTTTGTTGATAGATTAGGCCTTGGATATTTAAGGCAGCATGATTAATATGAAAAGGCAGAAGATCGGTGGATATCCTAAACAAAATTCATTAAACAATGAATCGAAGATCAGGAATTTCAAATTTGGCTTGGCGACTTATACAACAACGAAGGACGAAAAGATTCACAAAAAAACAATTGAAAACGTATAGAATGTTTAAAACAGTCTATAAGCAAGTAGAATACCTGAGAGAAGTTAGCAACATCAAAGATAGAATAAGTCTTACAAAACTCAGAATCAGCGATCACTGTCTTCAGATTGAAGTGGGCAGATACACTCGACCATACACTAAACAGTGAAAAAAGGCTATGTCCTCTATGTAAGGTTGGTGTAGAAGATGAGGCACACTTCCTTCTAACATGTTCAAATTATATATATTGTAGAAAGGAAAAATCTTCTGAATAAGATAAAGGAGGCAGTAAACCCAAAACAATAAACCCAAACAAATCAATCCAAAAGATAGTAACTAAATATATACATGACTGTTTTAAAAAGAGAAATAATCTAAAGCAATAAGATCTTTGACAAATTTAGCTTATTAATATTTTGGTGAAAAAAGGAAAAGACATTATATATGAATCGATGGGCGGCGATCGACTACTGTAAACAAGAAGCCAATATATATTAGTTAATTGAATTATTCTATATTTTCATTGGCAGCAATCCAATGTAAATACGTTTATACGGAGCCAATAAAATACGTTGTCTTGTCTTGTCTTGTCTTTTCTTGTGCCGCCAGGACCTCAAAACTCTGACCCTATCCCAGACTAAAACTAAGAACTTGTACACCCTATCCCAGACTACAGCTCGGTCATATTACATTTTGTTGACATGCAAAAGAAAGTTATCCAATAGTACAGATCGTAATCAATTTTTACAAAAACGACCAAATCGTTAACCCTAT